TGAAAATAAGATTTATTGGCTTTCAATTGAAAAACAAGGCTTAGCCTACAATTGTTCATCCACTTTCTTTAATGGTATACAAAGTGTATATAAAATGAGAAAAAAAAGAAAGAATTGAAGAGGAAAAAGCAGGAAACATAAAAAAAAGAGGAAAAAGAAAAAAAAGAAGAAAAAAGAGATGAAAAAGAAGCGAGGTTTCCATTAAGAATTTAGGTTTTTTTAGATCAGGGTAAGTAATCTTCTAGCATGCAAACTTTTTTTTTCTCAGTCGTCATTTATTCGCTGTCATTTGTTTTCATCGTCCCCAAAACCCTTGTAATTAACGTTACAACAGTGGTATGGGAATAAGCTAAAAGAGAAGAGAGAAGAGAAGAAAAAAGAGACAAGGAAAAAAGGGTAAGCAACGGAAAACAAGATGTTGATGAGCATTTAAAAAATTTTTTCTGTTATGCTTTATAACAACTTCAAAAATCTTCGTCTGTCTGTTAGTTTTAGATCAAATGCAGATTCTCGTCTTCGTAAGGGTTGGGAGAGAGAGAGAGAGAAAAAAAAAGAGAGAATGAATTAGAAAAATTTTTGAAAACCACGACAGAGTGTCAATACTGATGAAATCGTTGTAACCATTCAGAAATTTCTAAAGTTATTAGTTATAATCAATAAACAGAATAATTCGACTTTCTTTCCATCTAGATTTTTGTTCAAAGAAACCAAACAACGAAAGAAAAAATAAGAAAAGTAGAGGAAGAAGCAAAAACTGAAGATAAAAAAAAAAAATAAATAGTGGTCATTACAATAAACTAAGGAATTATTTTTTGACTGCTCAAAGTCGGATGAATAGGTAACTTTAAGACTGAACAACACTCTAAACTTCAGCTGCCATCATTCATTTTACAGCATTTTTGGGCTTTAAATGAACAATTCAAATCTACGGTAGTGTTTGTGTAAAAAATGAAGAACTTGAGTGACCTGGACTGATAATTCATTCAATTTTTTCCCATTCTTAATGTTTGACTGTAAAAAATAAAGAAGCTGTGCAAAAATGACAATAATATTGTGGACCGAAAAAAAATATGCGCAAAAAAACAGAATCAGAAACTGTATAGAAGACAAGCAAAAATGATGGTTGACTTCAGTTTAGCATTATGAGAGACAACAAAAAAAAAAAAAAAAAAAAAAAAAAAAAAAAA